CTGAGTGCAATCCCCAGTACCAGCACCCCCCACCCCCCACCCCGCCCCACATACACAGAGCAACATATAAGATCACTGTGATTTGGACAAGAGTAGCTCCTTCTGGAAGTGACTGTGTATGCCAGATGCCCACACTTTAACAATGGTGACCTCTGCCACTTAGAAGAACAACAAGGCAAATGCAGCACAAGGGGCTGAAGTGCACTTGGCCCAGGCTAAAAAAATAGGCCAAAGGCAAAGAAGAAGAGCTGTCAACAGCCACATATGGCTGGAGTTGAGCCCACAGGGTAGAGATGTTTAACACATTCCTGGGCAGCTTGTGGAACATCCTTCTTATAGTAGGTATGCCCAGGATGAATCGTACACAGGACTTTTGCTCATTGCTAGGAAGGAGAAGACTTTATTGCCCAATGGTCCTCCCTAGAGACTTTCTTCTGTAGAAGGGGGGAGTTTTGAAAGCTGTCAATCTTTCCCAGTTAACCTCTTCAGCACCCACATAATTGGAAGTCCAATGCAACCTAGCCCCAAAGCCTCTCCATTTATCCCCATCCTCAGGATTTCCCAGGAGACTCCTTCCTTAAAGGCACAAAGTAAGAATTCTCTCCTACACCTGAAAGCATGGTCTCAGCTATAGACAACTAGAAACTAGAAAGGACTCCAAGCTTCTAAGTTATTCTCCTGGTTCCAATGATTGGGGTTGGGACTTGGACAAAGAATCATCACCGTCTGCTAGGGTTTGGACAGCAGCCCAGAAAATGCATGGGAGGCTTGGGAGAAGAGCTCTGAGCGGTCTCTCTGCTTGGAGGTGCAGGTGGGAGGTTTCACCTTCCTCCAACAGGCCCCAGGCTGTGTGTTACCATAGCAGCACACTTGCCATGTGAGGGCCAGCAGGTTGGCAACCTGGACTTGAAGGGGTGGGAGCAATTCAGAAAGATGAGTGCCAAAAGCCCCCGGGATGGAGACATGAGCTGAGCTACTGGGAATGGAGCCCTGGAGCCAGGTAGATTTGGAGTTAAGATTTGGAAGTATCCGCCTCTTTCTATAGTAAGCTCAATCTGTAGGAGGGAAGAGGGAAGAAAGCAGGAAGGAAGGAAGGAAGGAAGGAAGAGAGGGAGGGAGGAAGGAAGGAAGAGAGGGAAGGAGAGAGGGAAGAGGAAGAAAAGGAGGCAGGGAAAGAATGAAGGAACGCAGGAAGGAGGGAAGGAAAGGAGGGAAAGAGGGAGGGAGGGAGAGAGGAAGGAAGAAAGGAAGGGAGGGAGGAAGCAAGGGAAGGATGGAGGAAGAAAAGGAGGAAGGGAAAAGGAAGAAAAGGAGGGAGGGAAAGAAGGAAGACAGGAAGGAAAGGAGGGAAAGAGAGAGGGAGGAAGGAAGGGAGGGAGGGAGGGAGGGAGGGAGGAAGGAAGGAAGGAAGGAAGGAAGGAAGGAATATTGAGAAAATAGAGAACTTGGCAGGGTAGCTTTTATTTCATACAACTTATCTATATGCATAAGTCACTAGGTCGTGCTAAAAATTCATTTTTTACTACAGAGTTCAGTTAACAGTTTGCAAAACACTGTCCCGAGAAGACCCTTTGGTTTGGTTTGTTTTTGCTGCCTACAGCTTCTTATATTTATTCATTCCATTCTCACCATCTGGAACATCAGCAAGGAGTTCAGCCCTAGATTCACTTTGTCTTAAAAAAACAACTGAGTTCACCTTTTGTGATCTCATTTTTCCCCAATATCCAAAATAAGAGAGCTCAGTGAGAAGACAGCCTGGTCATCTTTTGCCTCTGACACTCAGTGACTTCATGTCTCTGCAAATGCTCTTGAGGTAGGGAGGCTAGCATGGTAAGGCACACCTGTAAGTCCAGTTACACGGGAGGCAGAGGTAGGATGATCACAGTCTGAGGCTGGCCTGAGGAAAAAGCACAAAACCCTATCTGAAAAATTATTAAAGCACAGGGCTGGGAAGGTGGCTCAGTGGTAGAGCGCTTGCCTTGCATGCATGAGGCCCTGGGTTCGATTCCTCAGCACCACATAAACAAAAAGAAAAAAGCTGGAAGTGGCACTGTGGCTCAAGTGGTAGTGTGCTAGCCTTGAGCTGAAGAGCTGAGGGACAGCACCCAGGCCCAGAGTTCAGGCCCCACGACTGGACCCCCCCCCCCAAAAAAAAATTATTAAAGCACAAAAGGGCTTGAAGAGGGAGTGAGGCTCAAGTGGTAGCCTGTCGAGCAAGTATGAAACCCTGAGTTCAAACCTTAATACCACCAGAAAAATAAAATTCTTTGGGGTTTTCTGAGTGAGAGGTTTCCCTTCTACTTTCCTATAACCATAACCATAAAATATTTAAGGGGGAAAAAAGGGCCCTAAAACAAGAGAAAGCAAACAGTCAGATGGGAGTGTCCCATTGCAAGTTCAAAGGACACACTTTTACCTGGAAAGCAACCTCTGGACACTTAAACCTTCTGTCTACAAAACAGAATCTGTGGGAACCTCAAAGAGCCAAGATGTCAGCCAGACTTGAGGACAGTTTCCAAGTTGTGGAAATGGGAGACCCACACACTGAGAATAAACTATAGCCCTGTATCCTGACTGCAGCCGCATCTTTTCCGCCTACCTGCCATCACAGAGACCAGCCTCTGTCTTGTGGAATGAGATGCCCAAGGCTAGCTTCAGCCTGGCACCTGGAATCTTTCCTCCCAGGTAGCATGCACCTGGCTCATTTTCTATATAGATGGCTACATCGATGTCCGATAGTATGGTGTCTTGAATGTCCCAAGTGCTTATAGTTAGGCCATGATGCACTTGAGCGGAGATGCACATGGAGTGTCCTTCAGACAAGCACCACCAACCATCTCCACCAGAGCCAAGGCAAGAAAGGCTACCTTTAGGGAAAGGAAAGGAAAGTGTTTTCTCTAGAGGACCCAGGGCATGGTTCACGCAGTAGTCTAGCTAAAGGAATTTAAAGCTGTTCAACGTGTAGTGCAGGAATAGTGCCTGCCATCAAGGCTTGGAGAGAAGGGGTATGGGAACGCAACATCCTTGCAGAAGAAGCAGGGGCAAGAGGTAACCATTACAATGGAACAAGGAAGGGGGGGGGGCATACTAGGAAAATGTATGAGAGTCTTATCTCCAATTAACCAGCAAAATGCTGGAAGTGGAAGTGTGGCTCAAACAGTAGCGCTCCAGCCTTGATTGAAAAAGCTGAGAGACAGTTCCCAGGTCCGGAGTTCAAGTCCCAGTACTGATATACGGGGGGGGGGGGGGGGGCGATTGGGGAGAGACAAGAAAGAGAGGGATGCGGGGGTGACAGAGGAGAGGGGAGCATATTTAGAGAGAAATCCTGGGTTCAAGTGATTTTGTCATGTCTCAGCTTCAAAAATAGCAACAATTCTACACATCCGTTGTACAATAGGGATAGTTTTAAATTTGTATTGTTATTATAAAAGTGATGTGCAGAGGGGTTATAGTTACATAAGTCAGGTAAAGAGTACATTTCTTTTTGGACAATGTCTTCCCTTCCCTCACTCTGGGGAGAGTATTTTCTACTTTGTGGTCACAAAAGTTTGGAATGAAGAGTAAATAAGATCTTTTAAAAGTATTTTTGTATTTTTAGATATTTTATGTATGTGACATATCAGATTCACTGCTACAGCCAAGAGCTATAAAAAATAGTCACACAGGCCAGAACTATGGCATGTTTAGTATTCATATACTCTGTGTATGTACAAGAAGAGAGAGAGACAGAAAGAGTTTGAGTTCTGGAGCTTGAACTCAGGACCTAGGCATTGTCCCTTGGCTTTTTTAACTCAAGGCTGAGTGCTCTATCACTTGAACCACAGCTTTACTTCTAGCTTTTGGCTGGTTAATTGAAAGTCTCATGGACTTTCCTCCCCTGATAGCTTTGAACAGCAATCTCATATCTCAGCCAGTAGGGACCAATTTTTAGCCCAAATTTTCTATAGTCAATTTTTGGGCAGTCATCCACAATCTCAGGTCTCATATTGTACTTTAGTTTTCTTCCTTCCTTCCTTCCTTTCTCCTTTCTTCCTTCTTTACTTCTTCCTTCCCTCCCTTCTTCCCTTCCTTTCCTCCCTTCCTCTTTCTTCCCTCTTTCCCTCCTTTTTCAATTCCTTCTTTCTTCCTTCCCTCTTTTCCTCCCTCCCTCCTTCCTTCATTCCTTCTCTCTCTTCCTTCCTTCTTTCCTCCCTCCCTCCATTCTTCTCCCTTTCTTCCTTCCTTCTTTTCCCTCTCTCCCTCTCTTCTTCCTTCCCTCCCTTCCTTCTTCCCTCCTTCCTCCCTAATAAGTCTCAGAGGGGAGGAGAGAACGGAGAGTAGGGGCTGGGGAAGCTAAGTTTAAACCGAGCTTGGTTGAGATTCTCAACATCTGGAGGTGTCAGGTGGGAGGGATGATGTGCCTCCGGGCTCTGCTGCTCCGTGCCCTTTCATCCTAACTTTTGGAGTCTAGTTGAGCTTCTCGGTGATCGGCAGCAGTGAACACCCCAGGATTTACCGTCAGTGCAGAGAGAAAGGAGCCCTGAATGGGCAAGCGCTCTCCACCTCCTTGGTGAGCAATGAGGACCTGGCCAGGTCAGCTCAGGTGGAGGTGACGCACCTGGCTGAGGCGTTCTCAGCAGGCTGGGCAGAACCAAGGCAGACGGGGTGTGTGGGGGGAGGCGGTGGCAAGATCCACCACCCAGTATCACAGGCAGACTCGTGCCTGTGCTCTGTACAAATCCACCCAAAATTCTGCTCCACCGAGGGCAGAAACAGGCCTTGCCCTACACGCAGTCGTGTGGGGTTTCACCAAGCAGAGTCTCCAAGGCGACGGTGCTGTGGTTGATCCCAAGTTAAGATGGTTAACAATGCCTGTACCGTGCGGGGCAGGAGAAGACAGGACCTGTGGGCGTGGCGTGTGGGCGTGGCCCGGTGGCGGGGCGGGGCGAGGGGCGTGGCCTCTGGCGGGGCGGGACCAGGTGCTGGGCTGTCCCTGCTTGTCAAAAGGCAGCAGCCCGAGCCCGAAACGCCGGGAGGGAGCGCAGAGCAGCGTGTGCACCCGCCGGACCAGGTGCGGACCGGGGAGAAGCGGGGATGGGGATGGGGTGGGCGTGGGGTCCTAGGGTAGGATATAAGCCCAGGGTTTAAGAAGGGAAGAAATCTCGAGATCTCTGATGTTAGCGCTAGTCTTAAGTCAGAAGCGCAAACTTGGAGACTGGACTGAGCCATGAGGTTAGAACACGGAGCCAGCACTGAGGTCTGTGCCTTGGTGTGCAGGAGGCTCAACAGCAGAAACTCTAGCCTAGGATAGTGCCCCCCACCCTGTGGGGCAACAAGAAACATTGTTTCCCTCCTCTGTGAGGCACCTTGGCCTGCGGTGGAGAAATGGGAAAGGAAGCGACGTCTCGTGCGTGGAAGCTGCTAATGGGGTCTTCTGAGAGTTGAGATTCATTCAGAATCGTGTGCCATCCATGTGTGCTCTTCTGGGATAGTAGTTGGGTAGTTTTCTCTTCTTGATTTTTTTTTTTTTTGTAACCCAGTGATTTGAGACCTAATTGGCTCTAAAACACTCGATTTCACTCCCCCCCCCCCCACACCCCCTACCCCCCAGGAGATATCCAGAGGGACTTGGGGACACACAGGGTAATGGAGGAGAGAATCTGAGGAAGTAGTTTCAGTCTGGGAATCAGGGGAACTGAATATGTGGGCAGAGGGTGAGGATTCAGAAAAAAAAGAACTTTGTAGGGAATTGCTTTGGTCTCCAAGGCCAGTATGTCAGCTGCCCCCCCCCTCCCTGCCCCCCTTCCAGGGATCAGGGGTTGAGAGTCACTCTGCCTAGGCTGGCACAGCCAGGGATCTCTGAGCCTAGGCCCTTCTTGCTCCTCCTCCTCTTCCTCCTCCTCCTTGTGGTGAGTGAGTCAGCCTCCTGTCTGGGCTCAGTTGCAGCCAGAGGGGCCAGAGCCCAGGCAAGCAGTTGGGCAGGCATTTTCTGAGCATTGCAGGAGTTCCCCTGGGCAGAGTTCAGTTCTGTGGAAGACGGTCTTCTTCAGGAGCCTAGCAAGGGGGAGGGGCTCACATACCCAACCCAGAAGTGGTTGTTTGGATGGCCATGAGATGATTCCGGAAGGGGATGGCTGTGAAGGGATTGTGGCATTTGTGGTGAATCTACATCTCTTATCCTTCTCTGGGATCAGGAGGTGTATCCCAATACTGCAGACTTCTCCAGCCCTTTATTCCATTTCTCCCACCTTGTTAGCTAGGAGATGGGCCCAGAGAAGAAATTGAGACGGTTCTGGAACCAGAAACTTGTAGGGAATACTTTGACTTAGGCTAGGGAGTAGGGGTGGTTTGCTGACGTAGCTGGTCTGGTCCTAGGAACCTCAATTCTATGAACTAAGAATGTGGTGGTTGGGGGATCTTCCTCTCAAACAAGGGCTGGAGGAACTCTAGGTATTTCTGACATAGTTTGGTGACTGGCATACAGCCAGACTAGAGGTCAGCAAGAACGACACTTTTTCTCTGGGTTATCTTTTGGATAGCAGAGGCCCTTGAACAGAAAACAAATGCCCAGAGCCCCATATGAACTCTCATTCAGTAGCCTCTATAGACCTATTTGAGAAAAAATCCAAATCCAAGGAGGTAAGCCAGGCTGTGGAGCCAACTGTGGGAATTTACAGTCTATGCTCTGGCTGAGTCCCATGGCTTTAGATTTGGCTGGTAGTGATCAGGAATGACTTTGTCCCTTACCAAGATTTTTTTAAGGAGCAGGGAGAGGATGAGAGAAAAATGAAGAACAGAAAAGAAGAGAGTTAGGAAGTCTCTTCATCCTCACCCATCCATCAAACTTGTATATTGGAGGAGGAGGTTATGTTGTTTAATGTACTCTGATTATATGTAGTTATGTTCACTCTCATTCTTCTTTTTTTTTATTCTGTCTCAGAATTGGTCTCCTTTTGGGACTGAGTCCCAGAGGTCCAAGAGAAATTACTAGACCCTTACCCTCTGTCCCCATCCCATCTAGCACAGATAGCAAGTGTCCAAAGCCCTTCAGCAAAGGAAAACCTGGGAGACTGAACCAAGTGGTTATCCAAGATGAGAGAGAAAGTTTTGGCCATTGAATTATTTACCTCACATCCTAAGGGTGCTGGGACTATCTGGCTAAGGCCAGTCTCTGGGACCTTTGCTAGAAATCCACTATCACTTATTCATCAGTGGAGTTCTTGCAGCAAGGGAGCAAGGGCCAGGAGTGTCTGGACAACACTTGGGTTTATGTCTGCACAGAGACAGAGGGCTCTTGCTTCCTTTGGTCACTGCTGTAAGTCTGTTTAGGATGCAGACAAAGGGAAGCAAGGAAATGACCAGATTTCATTAAGAGCCTTAAGCCAGTGGCTCATACCTGTAATCCTCGCTACTCAGGATATGATATGAAGATTGAGGCTCAACGCCATTCTGGGCAGACAAATCCATGAGATCTTTATCTCTAATTAACCAGCAAAAGTCCAGAAGTGGAGGTGTGGTTCAAGTGGTAGAGCACCAGCCTTGAGCGAGAAAACCAAGCAAGAGCACAGGCCCCGAGTTCAAGCCTCAGGACTGGCACACAAAAAAAGAAAAGTCTACTTTGTGCCCCAGTTTAGTGCCATCCTAGTGAGGGGTGTCAGGAAGCAGATCCTTGAGGACCAGCTTTATGATTAGGACCCCAGGAGGAGGAACAACTCTCAGACTCTTTCCCTAAGATGGTCTAGGGCTGATGCCAGCCTAACTGTTGCTCTGAACTACCAAAGCGTTGCTTTGAATTAATGCTTCTGTCTGGTTGCTCCTTAACCTTTCCCACCTTGAGAGGCTGTATAATGTATCATCCAAACTGGGATACTGTTCAGAGTAAAAGAGAGATTCTGGGTGGGTTAACCAACACCACTGAAATAAAGCAAAACTGTCCAGAGCAAACTGGAACATTTGGTCATCCTAGTGAACAGCCAAGGTCACACACAATAATGATGGACCATGGGGCAGAGGGAGCTCAGTATTTGAGGGGGGAAAATAAGGATAGGTAGCTGGCATGTGTGGCCCACACCTATAATCCCAGCTACTCAGGAGGCTGAGATCTGAAAATCACAGTTTAAAGCCAATCCAGTCAGGGAACTATGAGATCCTTATCTACTTTAACTACAAAACAAAACAACAAAATGCTGGAAGTGGAGCTGTGGCTCAAATGGAGAGCACTAATCTTGAACACAAAAGCTCAGGGACAGCATCAAAACATCCAACCCTAGGACACACACACACACACACACACACACACACACACACACACACACACATATGAAAGGAAGGAAAGAACAAAAGAAGGAAGAAAAAAGAAAGGGAGAGGGAGGAAGGAAGAGAGAAAGAAAGAAAGAAAAGAAGGAAAGAAGAAAGGAAGGAAGGAAGAAAGGAAGGAAGGAAGGAAGGAAGGAAGGAAGGAAGGAAGGAAGGGAGAGAGAAAAAAAGGAAGAGAGAGAAAGAAAAAGGAAGAGAGAGAGAGAGAGAGAGAAAGGAAGGGAGGAAAGGAATCAAGAAGGACGGGAGAGGAGAGGAAAGGAAAGGATCGCTTAATTCTGGAAGCAGCCCCAACACCCAACCTGCTCCCTGGGATTATCAGTTAATTCTAGTCTCTTCCCTGAGGGTAGCATTGCTCCCTGCCACCCTGTGGTAGGACCCAGCCCACCACTAGTGTGACTTCCTTTCACCCTTGACTTGTGACTGGCCTCACCTTTGGTTTTTTTCTGCCCCACCCCTACCTTAGACAGGAACAGAAAGGCCTGCCAACACCTCTTTGGCTCCCCAGGGGGAACTGGGATTTATAATAGAGCCAAGTCCCATGCTTCCTCTTCCCTCTTCGCTTCATCTCCAGCCCATTCGTTTTGTCCTTACAGCTTGCTAAACTTCTGGGGAAACCAACCATTCCATTGCATAGCAAAATCCAGTTCAGAAAGCGAATCAACCACCAGGAAGGGAAGGGTGGCTAATCCTTGTCCAGGTAGATAGACGACACAGGTCACTTGCAATCATGATCCCAGGAAATGGCACCCAAGGTAAAGACGAGAGAAGAGAGCAGATGCTCAGCAGGAGATGGAAGTCCATTCCCTCCAACTTCTAGAATTTGCCTCTTCCATCTGGTCTGACTGTTGGGGAAATGGTCCAGGGTGGGGACAGACAGTTCTTGCTCAACCCAAGCTATAGGCGTTGGTGGCAGCATCAACATCCTGTGGTGGTGACATGTGCCCTTCCTTATGAGTTCTTGGGTCTCAGGATCCAGATGCTCAGAGAAAGATCCCTGGGGAGTGTCTCCAGTGATTCAATGGCATTTGAGTGATTAAGGCATGGGGGACAGGGGGAAGTGGGGCCTTCTTCATGATTGAATGGTAGAAAGAAATTTGTTCTCATCACAATCCATGAAAGGACAAAAGTGAAAGGTTCTTAGGAAATTCCACCTTTGAAACAACTCGGGTAGGGGTGAAGAAGGAGGTGATGAGACCCATTGGTTCGTTAAGGCAGGCAGGGCAGCGGTGACTGGTGGATACATGGTAGAAGCAGTAGGCAGCTCTGTGAGTCTCAGTGTGTGTCATGCGTTTGCAAACCTGCCCTGCAGGTCCCGTGCCAAAGGAATAGACTAAGCAGTGTTCCCAGAACCAGATGCCACACAAAGTCCTCATTCTGCGTAGAGGAGAGTCCTGGTCCCTGCCCGGGGTGTGGGCAGTTCTGCCAGCAGGAAAGTAGAGTTTGGGCAGGACCCAGGAGCCTTGTTCCTGGGAAGCTGCTGCCTCTCGCTGGCCTTCTGATGACAAGTTGAAGCATTAGGTGTGTAGTCAGGTGAGACACAGGCTCTATTAGAGACCCAGGAGGTTTGGGGCTTTGCTAGAGAGACATCTGCTGGCACTGGAGTTAGAGCTCCAGGAACAGTAGCTTACTCCCTTAGTACCTGGCACTGAGCTACTTATATGACAAGTACCACCTCCCAGTCTTAGCACTTTACCTTGTGACTCATGAACCACTGCTCCAATTACCTGACAAATGAAGAAACTGAGGTTTGGT